TTTGATTTAAATTAGATTCAACATTACCATTTTTCGAAGCCCAAAAGGAATTTGAAGCTGTGGGTGGGCCTTCATATCCCCAAATCAGAAGGTGAGGAACTGGCACACAGACCCTAAATCTGGTGGGCAGCTGCAGAGGCACAGACAACACTTTTATTCCAGAATTTTCTGATACTTATCCCACAGAAATTGGTCTGACATTCAACCAGTAATTCTGGATCCAGCCAAAACAAAGCTGGCCTGAGCACCCTAAAGATCTCAAGGGATGGACACTTCTTTCTGTAATGATGATTTTTCTCTTTATGCTTTATTCAAAGCCCAGTGTTCTCAGAGTCACAGCAGGCAATGTTTACTTTGGAAAATATTAAATTGGATACACTAAGATGAAAAAATAATCAATTAAGGCTAAAAAAATCTTTATCAGTCAACGTAAGACAATGAAATAACACTGAAGAAAGTGTCTTATCAACAGACATTTATGGATGGTCTGTTAAGAGATTTTCTCCTAAAACTAAAATTGCAACACAAAGAGTAATCAGAACATGCAGGGTAAGAGATACTAAATAAACTAATTGATTAAAAGACTTTTTTGTTTGTCAAGATCCTCAGAGTTTTCTCAGGAAATCCATGAAAGTTTCTCAACGCAAAAAGTCAAAAATGGAAAAACAGCTTGCTGACATTTGCTTGTTGGTTCTTCAGTCTGTACCAAAACAGAACTGCAAAATTAACAGCTTGGAGGCAGTTCTTCCACACAGGGTCAGTGTTTCAAAGATTGGTTTTCTTGTCTGTTTGAGCTGCTTGCATGAGAATCCGTCACACATCCCCACCAGCAGGAGTGATCTCAGTGAGCAGACACAAAACTGAAGCTGTTGTCATCTGAACATGTTACAGCAGAAAGAGTCCCCAGCTCTGGCCCCATTAACAAATGCAAGTTAAAAAAACCTGGCAAATTATTCTGATTTGAACCAGGGGATTGATCTTGCTAAAAAAATGGACCCACCAAAGAGGAAGGGGAGAAAAGTCATTTTCAGGCAGATCAGTAGATCTGGTTCACACGTTGCACACAACATCAGTACAGAGCTCTAGATTAGGTAGTAGGAAAAATTTATTCATGGAAAGGGCTGTAAAGAATTGGGAGAGGCTGCTCAGGGAAGTGGTGGAGTCACCATCCCTGGAAGTGTTCAAAAAAACGTGTGGATTTGGCTGTTGAGGACGTGGTTTAGTGGTGAACGTGGTGCTGGTGCTGGTTGATGGTTGGACTTGATGATCTTGAAAGGTCTTTTCTAACATTTACAATTCTACGATTTGATGATTCTGAGGGAGGTCAAGGTACAAGATGTGGCTGAGTTCAGGAGATGACAAGTTTGGTCCTGCTGCCCAAGGGTGATGTCTGTGGGTGTGTGGTCAGAGGAACAGAATCAACCCCATGGTGAGAAATCTGCTGAGAAATTTGCCTGGGTTTGTAACAAAGCACCTTTCAAGCTTTATGTGTTTATCTAAGAAAGTAATTTATTGCATGGAAGACACCCACAAACTCCTGTATTACATATGGTGACCCACACAAACCATCCAGGTTTTAGAGATTCCCTAATTCCAGATTTGAAAGATTTGTAAACATTGTGCAGAGCCTTTTATCCCATCTAATTTTCACTGGACTAGACATGGATTGGGACTAATGATAAATGCTGGAAGAGGCATCCCAGGACAGGCACTGTGAACAGTAATTTATTTTATTTTATTTTAATTAATTTTGTGTTATTATTTTTATTTTATATTTTATTTTATTTTATTTTATTTTGTGTAGAATTAGAAACTTTTTTTCTTTGAAGCCTGTCCCAGCAACCACAGATTTAAAGAACCTGGACAGAGAATACCTTGTCTAGCCATAATTTAATTTTGGAGAGCCCCTGACATAGCAGGTTGGATCATGAGATTTCCAAGTTTTTAATGGCAATTTGAGTCATCTCTCCATTTTGATAGGAAACCTACAATATGAGCTGGGACCTAGAGACAAAAAGCCCTTTATTCAGCCATAAAATCTGCTTTGCTGCACCTGCTATCACCCTCCTGACTCTGTAGGGAGTAACTTTGTTCTCTGTCTTGTACCATGGTACAAATTGGAAATGGTGCAGTGATTGAGATTTTATCCTGATGAACTGCCAATGCTTAAAATTGATTATGGTAGGAATTCTTGAGTGAAGTGGTATCAAATCTCAGGAAGCCTGGCGCTGTCCTCTGCTTTTTTGGATCTCCTGGGAGATGCTTTCAGAGAGCAAAAGAAAAAAAACCAACATATCCTTATGGATATAAAACTATTCCTTACCAGTCAAGTCAAATTTTGTTCTTCAAACTCCTGCTGGAAAATAGAAAATTTGGAAAAATTGCAGGAGAACTGAAAAGAAAAATGGTATTTGCCACACATCTCTGACATAATGTTCCCTTTTGTTGCATCACATCTGCTGTTTTTAACTCTTTCCCAAGTTTTCTTCTCTTCATTGATGGTTTGGACACATCTTTTGGTCTGAAAGGCAGGTCAGACAAGATCAAGAAGAAGGGAACAGCAAGAAAAGCTGGGACAGTTTTTCCACATATGCATTGCATAAAAAATGTGCCCTTTGGGTGACACAGGGGAGAGAATTGCACAAGTTATCCCAATTTTTTGGACTGTCACACTTTCTTCCAAGGAAACAATGGTACAGGGTCTGCTATCACAACATGCTCCAGTAAAAGATAACCACAGTGGTTTTTTATTTATATAAACCAGTTACATTTAAACTTGTTATTTATATAACAGTTAAATTTAAGGCAGTTTTTATGTTCCCCCGTTTGAGTGACATAAAAAGACAGATGAAGGTGTCCAGAAAAGACTAAGGTGTGGGAAAACTTTAAGAAGACAGTGGAGAATGGGTGGTGGGTTTTTTTGGAAAAATTTGTATTCTTCATGTCTTGGGTTATTTCTAAATCCTCGTATTTAAAGCATGAAATCACTGGAAAATAAAAAAAAGGAATTTCTCTTCTTATGCAGTGTCATACCTCTGGATGTGACAGCTCCTTGCCATGTAGGTGAAAATCCAACTAGATAAGGGGCTGAAGTGATTTGACCATAATTTATGGAGAGTTCAGCCTCCTGTTGGAAGCAGATTTAGGGCTTGGGGTCGGGACTTAACATCTGAGTCTTGTTTATGCAACACCCTGGTTGTGTCTCATTGAAAAACTCTCTTAAAGATTAACTTCCCAAACTGTTTTGGAGGTTCAACTGTGCACAGCACCTGACATGGAGGTGTCCTGTGTTTTCCAAGAGCTTCTGGAACAAACAAACCCACACCTTGGTTTTCATCACGTCCTTGTTATGACTCCTCGAAGAAACAAGGAAGGAATGGGAGATTAATTTCTCAAAAATTCCATAGATTTGTTGTGGTAAAACCTCATATTTCACAATTTTACATGTAAACTGACCTGCTACATTTGCAGGTGCATCATCCTTCCCTTGCTTTGGGGCAAAACCCCTCTGTTTTCCCTCATCTTAACACTCCCCTGCTTCGGATTTTTAACTAGTTAAGAGTATGTTTGCCCCAGGCTTTCACAAGGGTGTAAATGTTAATATACAAAACTGGAAAAAATTAGATAATGGTATTTCCTGCCTGCACAAACACAAATCCTTTGTCAACCCTGAGGTTTTGAGAAGCTTTGTGTGGGTTACAAGCGTGTAGGAAAAAGGGGAGGTGGGTGGGAAGACCCCCCCACACTCCACTGCTCCCCAGCCAGGTGCCAGTTCTCTTGTTCACCAGCAATAAGAGAATGTTTGGGAATGATCACCTCTCGTTCTTGACTCTGCTCCCATCAAAAGCCTCTCCACTGAACTGCCTTCAAACAACACCAAAACTGAAGCATCAAAAGAGGGTTTGACAACGAGGTGGCAGGCAATGGTTCCCTTAACAAAACAGTGAAATGAGAGGGGAATAACACACAATTAATCCTTGTTAGAGTTCCCTGCTGTAGCTGCAAGGACCAGAACAGGAGATTTTGTTCGTATTCAGCAGAACCTCGACGCTGGTGAAGAAAATAAAAGCTCACTGCATTTTGCTGTGCCTGGGTTCTCACTGCCCTCTTCCCTGGGGAATTTAAACTGCTGCTGCTCTAGTGCACACCTCCTGCCAGGGAAGGCTTTAATGCACCAGGATGGGAAATAACCTTTAATGCAATGTCACAGACATCAGTTTTCCACGGGCAGGCTTCTATTTTGAGGTTGCAAATCAAGCTGAACTTGTTGGATTGGTGTTTGCATAATCCAGCTGCTGCCAGAATGGAGTGTGGGACAAGGCAGGAGGTGATTGGGGGGATGACATTCACAGGGTGAAGAAATGGAGGTGAGGCTGCTGTGCCAGAGAAAATTAGGTACTACAGGAATATGTGACTTTAAGAGAGGGATGAATGATTGAAATATCTGGGGTATAATTCAACTGCAAAAGCATAAATGTCTGTGGCAGAGGTGTTATGACTCAGATGTTTCTCTAGGATTCTCTTTGAGCTCCCTAGACCTGTGGTTGGGGTCTAGAGCACAATTCATCCCACCCAAAATAGACCCACAGAGCTGCATCCTTTCCACTGAGGGATACAGGGATTCTGGGCTGACTGATCCATGGGTAAATGTCTATCAGAGATGGTGAATGATCCATGAGGTGAATCTAACCACAGTAATCAGCTTTTTTTAATTAATTAAAGGGGATGATTAAGCACATTATCTGAACAGATTATCTGCGTACAACCTCTGCTTCTCTCCATTCAGTGCACACAAAAACCAGATTTTGACAAGCACGGACAGCACACAGGTTAAAACACTTATTGTTGGCTTGTGTGTGAATAATTCTTGGTTCTCATCATTAAATGGCTCTCTGAGCAACCTTGTCTAGTGAACAGAGTGTTGGAACTAGATGATGTTTCAGGTCCCTTCTAGCCCAGGCCATTCTATGATTCCTTGAGTCTATGATCCCACAGAGGTGTGATTTCAGGTGCTCATCTGACACAGCAACCAGAAAGTTTATGTTGGTTCAGACAGTGCAAGTTCACTGGGGAAAAGGAGTTTTGCAGGGAATATCATTCTGAGCTATGGCTCTGTGGCTGAAGTTCACCAGAAGTTGTCAGAGGTACGTGCTTTTATGATCCTGAAAACAAATCCATACTGCAGAACAGAATAAAAATACATATCCTTGGTAAGTTCTTTCTAATGGGAATGACTGATCAACCAAACTGGACAGTCCTATCCACAAAGGCCATGAACATCCTGTGCCCCTCTTCAGAACAATGAACAACAAAGAGTAATTAAAAACTTAAGAACCTTCCTATTTCAGAACAAATATTAAGCTGAGAGATTGTTTTTAATTAGACAGTCTGCTTTCTCTCTCTCTTTTGTCTTTTTATTCTTTTTTTTTTTTTTAATTACCAAACATCTTGACTAAGTCCAGTCTCCTGGGAGGAGAGCCTGTTGAAGTGACAGAGCACAGTGTGTGGAGATGCAGGAGAACAAAACCAATCCTCAAAACCTGGTTTTAATGAAGCAAAACATTCCTTCAATGCCAACTGGCTAATTAGCAACAGGGACAATTTCTCCCATGCAATGTAGGTATCTGAAGCAAGGCCAGAGGGCACCTCACATATCCCATATAATAAACATTCTTCCCAGATCACAGTGAAGATGGAAAGGTAGGGAAACTGGAAGGATAATCTTGATAGTTGACTGGTGTGAGCAGGGTGGGTCTGTGATGAAGGACACATTTCCCACATTCCTGAGGGGGAATATCTCCCAGGGCAGGTCTCAAACAGAAGCAACTAATCTGGCAGGAGGTGTCCTGAACCTGCACATCCATGAGCATTCCAAGGTGCATTGGATACCTGCCACGGTTAACTCCAAATGAATGAGACTGGGACACTTCTGGCATCCAGGTGAAAAGGTTTTATTAGGATGAATCAACACAAAATGGCTCCTGCCTTTTATATGGTGAGGTGAGAACCCTCTGGAAGAGGAGGTGGAGTTAGGGAGGAGCAAGGGTGGAGTATGTAAATTAACAGGGTGGTAAAACCATACAGGGAAAGGTGCTGCATTGCACCAAAAATTAACCAATAAGAGGACAGTGTTTAGGGCCATGAGGGAAAGTTCTGGAAAACTAGGGTATAATAATGAGGGGAATATTACAATAAATAAAGAAAACACAATATTAAACACAAAACACACTCTGAAACAGTTCATAAAAGTCCATCTTTGCTTCCATAGCATGTTCCTTCTTGAGAGGCAAAGCTTCCTTCATTTTTCCACCTCCTGCAGATACCAGTTTCCAAATTACCTCCTGTGACCACAGTCAGATCACAGAATCATGGAATCTTGGAATGGTTTGGGTTGGAAGAGACCTTAAAGATCGACTGTTTCCAACCCTCTACCATGGGCAGGGACAAATTCCACTAGGACAGGTTGCTCCAAGTTCATCCAACCTCTCCTGTTGAGGTCTCTTTCTGTTGTTCACTGCTCACTTTGGGCTTTCATTTTAGGGTTGTAACAGTGTCAGAAGCTTCTTGTAATCTTGAGGGGATCAGCAAATAGAAATTGTGATCATGGATTCGTAGAATCGTTGAATGGTTTGGGTTGGAAGGGACCTTAAAGATCATCTCATTTCACTCCCCTGCCATGGGCAGGGACACCTTCCACTAGCCCAGGTTGCTCCAAGCCCCGTCCAACCTGGTCCTGGACACTTCCAGGAATCCAGGGGCAGCCACAGCTTCTCTGGGCAACCTGTGCCAGGGCCTCCCCACCCTCACAGGGAAGGACTTCAGATGGACTGAGCCAGTTGCATCCCATGGGATGCCACTGAAGGACATTTCTGCTACATGTCGTGGTTGACTCCCAGCCGGCACCACCCACCGGGGTCCTGCTTTGACCTTTAAAGCAACACCTTTCAGAATAAATATTTCATGCAATAAATGCTTTTCCTCTCTGTGCACCAAGAGCACAGAACCTGATAAAATTCTGAGCTCTCCTGCCAAGATTCGACGTGGCAGATTTGGGCTCAAAATCCCCACACATGAGCTTTTCCTCCCTGTTCAGCTGCACATTCTCTGCTAACTGCATCCTATATAATCTGGGTAGCATTAGTACAGTCTCATATGCTCAGTCAACAAGAAGGTTTTAACAAAAGACACAAAGCCTACCTGGTTATAGGTATCCCAAGCATGTTGGGATAAATTTTGATCCAACTTGAAGAAAAAAAGTATTATTTCACTGCTTCAAAGGAAGATGGAAAAGCCTGAACTTATTAATTCACTACTAAGTGAAGATAAACATCAGTGACACAGAAAAGGTATTTGTTTTTTCCAGCATTTATTTTTGAGGAATAAAAAAATTCTACTGGTTAATTTTTTTTTTTAATGAAAATTAAAATTTAACTTAAATCAAGTATTCTTTTTCCCCCAAAATTTCTGCAGAGCTAATTTTAGTTATTATTTTTTGAGAAGATGGAGTGAAAGCTGCACACTTGAATGCTGAAATAGAACTGTTTTTCACAATTTCTGATCCACTGCAGATGGCAAACATTTGTATTCTGACTTGAAATCAGAAAAGAGTTTTCAAAATCTTCAGTGTAGTAATAGAATCTGTTTTTCACCTGGTGACAGAGTGATGCCTTTGGAATAGAGAGTGCTGAACATACTATTGTGTAGGTTGCAGCTGAAGAAAAATAATTAAAATAACATTGAAACTGCAGTGTAAGTTATTCAGAAGTCTGAAAACACTGGAAAAATTTGCCTGTGCAACCTTAATTTCCCTTTCTATTTGACTGACTAAAATTCCACTCTGTTTTTTTTTACCTGTGTTAGTATTTTTTTATTCAGCATATTGGTGCTCTTTCAAATGGGCAGCAAAACAACATTAGGTTCTACCTCTCTTTTGCAACAGCCCTCTGCTTGATTTACTAAACACTCCTCAAACCCTCCAGAGTCTGAAAGTAGAAGTGTATTATTTTTTCCAGGTTCTTGTCACTGCAGTAACTTAGAACTGCATAAACACGAATGGGACTATTTTCCACAGCCATGGATCACTGAGCCACTTTCAGGTAGGAAATGGAACCATAGAGAATTTAAGATTAATCAAAAAAATAAGTGAATTCAGTGATTTTTCCGACAGGCAAAATATTAGATGTACTACTGGTAGCTGCAGCCAGTGATTTTAGAGACATCATGAGGTGAGCTGGTCAACCTGGATCCTTGGACAGGAACAGGCAGTTTAAAAGATGACTCTTCTGACATATTTTAGATGTTCACTTTGGGATTTATAGAGATTTATAGAGAAGATACCAACATCTGGTCAGACTAATCCAGCTCAGTGAAGGAATAAAGCATCCTGGAGAACAGTGTGTGTGTCTGTGCAATCCTGTCTTACCCTCAGTGGGGTCACTGTGGGCACTGAATATGTTCAGACTCAGGACCTATGTCAGGTCCTGAGCTGAGGATTCAGCTGAGTCTGACTTTCTTATTGCCTTGTTTTCTTGTTTCCCAGATTAATTTGAAGCCTTTGATGAAGAAAGAAGACTGATTCCTATCTAGACACTAATCACAGTCTGGTGTCCAGAATGCTTTTTTAGAAGAGCTGTGCCTGAGGCCATGGAAATGAGAAGGTCCTGGGATCCCACTGTCTTATTTTGGCAGTTTTTTCTGAACAAAAAGGATTCCCAGCTCTGTAGAGCACAGTGTGAAAACCATTTGCTTACAGCCCTGTGTGAAGTGCTGATGTCTGGAGAGGGACAAGAGTTTAAACTGTGTCTACTTTGTCCTATCAGCTGCCTCACTACAGCTCTTACATTACTCAGAGGCATTTTAGTCTCCATCCTGAGGTGACAATTTTTCCTTATATATTATAGATGGAGTTTTCATGTCCAACAGCAAATCTGGACTGTGTAATGGGAAGATACAGATCAGGTCTGTACAGATATTCAGATTCCCTGTTGCAGTCAGCAGTGCTAAGGAGGGGGATTAAGTCTCTTGTGTTTTTCCTACTGATTCTATTCCTGGTTCTAGACCTGGTGAGGATGATCAGCATAAAGTGCCCAACCTAAGTTCACATGGCTTTCCTGGGAATAAGTTTCTGTATTTCTTGTTGGGATCCACATTACTCATTTTTTTGAGTGGTTCAAGCAGCCAACAAGGGCACAGGAAAGGGCAGATACTCCTACAGGTGGGTGCTGACACGTGCCACAGGACAGGTATCCTGAAAGGATGTCTCAGAAGCAGAAATCAGCTTTTTATATTTGGTGGCCTTCAAACGGGTTGACAGCAATATTTAGGGTTCATCCCAAGAGTCACCTCCAACCATTCCTCACCACTGAGCTCTTTTGCCCTTAAATTCCCTTTACTTCAGAGTGCCAATCCCATGTGGTGGAAGCATCTTTGGGATTTGTCTCATCTGTCCCAAACTTGCCTCTGCCAGTGAGGAGCTGACATGGATGGTGAGTTGCAGAAGGACTGGAAGTCAGGCACGTGGAAATGTGGGATTGCTGAGGAGTTTTGCAGGGCTGGAGTCCCTCAGGCTGGGATATGGATGGCTGCAGGCACTGTGTGATGTGCAACTACAGTGGAAATGGTGTGTAAATTCAGGCTCCAGACTATTCTTAAGCTTATTTGAGCTCTTCGTACAAAATCAGTGCATATGTATAAATAATTTTATAGATTCAGGACCACCAGTGGTACAGGAACCTTCTGGTTATGGAATTCTGGTGGTGTCTCTCCCTTGGAATGGGGAGACTTATCTCCAGCAATTTATTTTTAGTGTGTGCTAAAAATTCATCTGAAAACACACACACATTTATCGGCCTCCAGAGCTACTTTTCTTCTTTACTGTTTGGTACAGAACCAAGCTCTGCCTCACACAGAGTGTCCCTGGAATGCTGACACACCCCTACTTCCACAGGGTCCTCTCTCTGTCCACACCACACTCAGAAGCTGATGGTTCCCTGAGCCCCTGTGGGAGGACAAGCCTCCAGATCCCTGCTGGAGAGCCCTGAGCCAAGGCTGAGTCACAGAACCAAGCCACCAGGATTTTTCCAATAAAATTCACTGTGTGGTTATGTGAAACTCTTTTTCTGTAACTTTTAACTGCCTAAAAATAGCTGTTGAGCTTTGTCCCTGCCATGCCTGAGGCTCATTTCCCCATGAACCAGTTTATGGCCTTTCCTTGACCTCTGGTATCTCCTGCCAGTGCTGTGTGATGCCATCAATTGATCTCTGGGTAATGGAGCCAGTGAATTCATCTCACTCATTTTCCTTGCCTGAGGTCAGGTGGAGCCTCACAATTCCATGATATTTACCTGACAAATATTTACAGCCTCAAATGTTGGTTATTAGCACAGGGGGTGCTTGGTATTTGTATTAGAACACTAATTAAATGCTCATTTGTAGTACAGTCGTGTGTATTACCCAGAGCACAGAGTGATTTATGGAAGTGACAGGCTTCAGACAGCAGAAATATTTACTGGAGGAATATTTCTTCTGATGGTTTTCTTCCTGTTCCTTTCATGGCAAAAAAAAGAATCCTTAATAGAGAATAATCTTAGTTATCTCTCCATGCTTAAAATCATAAAGAATATTTGTTTCCAAAGGGTAATTGCTCAGAACACTAACACAAAAGCCATTTCAAGGCAGAATGATTTTGTTGGGGTGTATTTGGGTATTCATAACATAACTGGGAGCTAAAAATGTACCAAGAGAGGAAAAAAAATAGGGGAGAAAACCCCTAAGAGAAAGGAAAGACGAGCACTCACGATTCTTTTTTTTCTCTAAGAGAAGTTGAAGAGAGGCAAATATTTAGCACAGCAGGAGAGAAGAGCCCACAGTTGCCTGTTCCATTGGCCCAGGAGTGTGTTTTTGCAAGATGATTACTCACAGAGTAAATTCTGGCTCACACTTGCCCTTCATTATTTGACTTCCTTCCTCATTTTGACTGAAATATTTGAGTGTGTGTGTTCATCCAACTATTCTCTGGGAAGGTTTTATGATGTAACTCCTGGGAGATACCTGGAGGATGGGCTTTGCTGGGCCTGGAGGTTGAGGGGAAAAGATCTGGGGGTTGATCTGAGTGAGTTACATCAAATCTCTACTTAATAATTATCTCCTTTTTGCCAGCTTCAATATAATTGTTCTAATAATTGCTTAAATATAGTGCACTATCCTATCTTGTCCTGTACTACTGGTAGTTTTAGCTTTTATATTGTGTAGTCAATAATTCTGATTAAGATCTTTTGTCTGAGCGTTTGTAATAATAAATGATCCCTTTCATATAAATATTCCCATTTTGCCAATCATTAAAACCTGCAGGACAAGAAAAACCTTCACAGGCTGATGAAGCCTTGCTGGAGGTGTGGTTGTGAGCTGCTGGCTATGGTGAGTTCTGCTCTGTCTGCATTGGCAGCATCCACTTTAATGTCTTTTTTTGGCAGCACCACAATGCATATTTTCTTTGACTCCCTATTCCTGAACAAAAGGTATTGCTGAGTCCACCCCTCCTGCTGTATTTGCAGGAGTGCTGGAGTCTGTGCCTTTTGCTGCTGGGATATATTTTGGACATTCTACAGCACACTTTGCAAACCAGAGACTGATGGAGTGTTTTATATCCCTAAAACAGGCATTAAAATTTACACCACCAAGGTGGGAGGGAGTGTGACAACACCTGGGGGTGATACTTGGAGTTAAAAAAAAAGGCTATATTGTACATTCAAACTCTAGGATTAGACAGCAGCTACTGCAGGGCAAAAGCTTTCAGTTTTTCTGGGGGACAACACTGTAAATATCCTAATTACTTCATGTTTAAGTGTAAAATGCTGTATCAGCTTGGAAAAAAAAAAATCAAGGATTTAGAAAGGCAACTTATAGTCATCTATTTTAGAGTCAAATCAGAGTCCTTTGATTCCTGCCCTTATTTGTGTAAAATGCTGAAATGTTTTGTTCTTGGAAATTTGGAAGCTCTTAAATGCAGTTCAGTTAAGTGAAGTCCATCTTGCAAAACAAAGAGATTAATTACTGACCTTGAGCAATTAATTCTCATCCAAAAAAAGATTAATTTATATGTAGGCTGTAATGAAAAAAAGTGCTATTTTCAATAAGCACAGTCAATGAGAGACGTGTCATTTCCTTAGGACTGTGTTATGATACTGGACTGAATTTCTTAATTATATCTAATTGAAAGAACACCTCACCTGTGACTAATAAAATCCAGGGGCAATATTCTATGTCCTGGTGATTGAATGTGTTTGTGCAAGGAAAACAAAAGTGAGGGAGGTGAATTTACTCAACATCAGTGTGAGTAAATAAAATATTCTTTGTTTATATACCCCGTTTTATTTTATAATCAGGACTGAAATTAGGTGTTGCAAGCTTGCAGCCAAGTCTAGACTTTGCCTTGCTTGAAAATAGGTGGGAATAGGTCTGTTATTTGGGGTTTGCATTTAAATTTCTTTTGCAAGAGGTTCACAGCTCCCTCTCTGGAGACTGAAACAGGGACGAAGACAGACCATGGTGAGGAGATTTAGATGTGTTTCTAAGAAGTTAAAATCTTCCTCTAGAAGGGACAAAGCTGGAAGAAAGGCTTTTGGTTTTCCAGAGGTTGGGTGATGGCTGAGAGGAAAATGGGGCTGTAAGAGTGTAATGACAGAATCATTGTTATCACTGTTATGGTTGGAGAAGACCTTTGAGATCATCAAGTCCAACCTTCAGCTCAGCACCACCACCACGTTCACCACCAAACCACATCCTCAGTGGCCACAGCCACACTTTTTTTGGACACTTCCAGGCATGGTGACTCCACCATTTCCCTGGGCAGCCTGTTCTACTGCCTGACCACCCTTTCAAGCAAAGAAATTTTCCCCGATATCCAACCCAAACCTCCCCTGGTGCAACCTGAGGCCCTTTCCTTCCATCCTGTCACTTGTTACCTGGGAGATGAGATGGTTCCACCCTCCTGTCAGGGAGCTGTAGAGAGTGAGAAGGTCCCCCCTGAGCCTTTTATTATGCAGGTTGAACAAACCCCATGGCTGTGGGGTTGATCAGCACAGATATTCTTGTCTCTGCAGCATCTCAGCTTTACTCCATCGTGGCACCACCATCCCCTTTCCCTTGCAACCTTCATGATGATTTTTCAATTTACCTCTTTGTGCTTTTTTTTTTTTCCTCCTCTCATAGCTGGAGCAGGGTATCTCCCCATCTGTGCTGACTCAGCAGCACAGCAGCCTTCCTTAAATGCTGATCTGGAGCGAAATAATCCTCCAAACCAAGGTTTTTGGGGTCATCACATTGAAAGTGCTGATCCGTGGAACAATGGCTGGTTGGAAATCAGGGAGTCTGGAATAGTGTCATGGACCATTCATTAGACTGCAGGGAGTGTAAGGAAATAGGCCCCAAAGACTGTGCAATAAATGTTATTATGAGCAAACTCCAGCTGCCTGGAAGGGAGGAACCAGCACCATGGAAAACAGGAAAATTGCTCATTGAGTGCTGCAAACCTGAGAGAAGGACAAATCATGCCAAAAAGGTAATAAAGCTCAGGTAATCCATTATTTATGTGTCCTGAATGCTCTTAAAGAATTACAAAAACCTACTTGTTTTCAGGGTGTTGTTCTCCCACTAAAATGAGAGGCCCTCCAGGCCCCAGTGAAACCCCACTTTAATAAAGAAATTAATAAGGCTTATTCTTCTTATTCTTATTTTCCTTACTTGTTAAGTGTGCTAGGATATCTAATACCTGAGACAATCCCATAATTATTTTCCTGTTTCCACAAAGCTAAGAGGAATTATTCCCTTTGGAAATCTGTACTTATTAAGTTTTTTCCATTTGCATGAGTTAACAGGGAAAAATCATATAAACCTTATGGCAACTGGATTCAGGCTTTCGACAAATAAGTGTCTTTTCCTCTCTGCTCTTCATGGAAGAATTTTGCACTGAGCTCATCACTCAACACTTTATTATCCAAAGACAATATTTTGTTTTATGATAGAATATTTGATGGGCATGGTCCTACTATCTCTTAAGTCCTTCCTGACAAAACTTGACTTGAGTTCATAGAATCCCAGAATGGTTTAGGAGGGAAGGGACCTTAAAGATCATCCAGTTCCAACCCCCTGCCATGGGCAGGGACACCACTAGTCCAAATTGCTCAGAGCTCCATCCAACCTGGCCTTGAACACTTCCAGGAACGTGCCATCCACAGCTTCTCTGGACAACCTTTGCCAGGGCCTCACCACCCTCACAGTCAAGACTTTTTTCCTAATATCTCATCTGGACTTACCCTGTTTCAGTTTGAAGCCATTCCTCCTTGTCCCCCTGGAGCTGCTGGTGGTTCTCAATTTAAAAAGAAATCATTTCAGGCTTTGTTTTATCCTGCCTTAGCATTGTCAGCTTCTGCCAAAACGCAGAATCTGTGGCCTGGATATGTAAGTGAGAAAAAAAAAACACATTTAGATTGCTTATAAGAATAACAATAGTCATTAATATGTAAATTTTTTTTATGCAACAATTGGTAGGCTTAAAGATTGATTTTGCCATGAAGGAAATCTTGACATTATTTCCTAAGGGGCAATGAATTTCTCTTGAACATGTTAAGTGAAGCCAATCATTGCAACTCAATCAACTGCAGCAATGCCCAGAGCATTGGAGATGTGCAGTGAATAACCAGCATCCTGCAGTCACTCACAACAAGACAAACATTTAATCATCCCCATCGTGTCTCAAACTGAGAAATAAAGTGTGTAGGCTCATGGAAGACTCACGTTCTAAGAAAATGTTCCTTAACATTTTCATTTCTAGCCTTGGCAATACCAGCTTTCATTCCTGTTGTTTGTCTTCTGAATGAGCTGTAAGTCAAATTTAATCAATCATTCAATCAAAGAGTCTGAAGGCATTAAGACCTTTCAACACTTAGAGTTTAATGCCAGTCTTGGAAGGATCTGTAGTTTTTTAAGTCATACAAAAACATGAAAAACTCATATTATAGTCTCATTTCCCTGTTTTTAACTAAATAAAGAACCTGTGGTCTCTTG